ATATTTTGAAGCTACCCTCTCACTCTGCAGCCAAAGTCGGCCTCAGACAAGCTTTTCCTCCTCCACGCTGGTAACAGGGCTGAGTGAGTGTGCGGGACTTGGCCGGGAACCTCCGCTGAGATATTTTCTGCTGAGTCAAATGCAAGCACTCAGTGTAACAGCATGCAGATGAGGTCACAGAGCAAAGTCTGGCCGATAGTAGGCCGACTTGCTGAACAAGCCGCCCTCTGTGCTACTAACCTTGCCCTCAGAGCCATGTGGAGTTTATTAACTGTTCGCAAATGAGTTAGAAAGTGAGCTGGCGGGTCATGAAATCGGAGGTTGGAGGTGGGAAAATCCCCAAAGACTCCGCCAACATGGCCACTGACTCACAGTTAAAAGGAATCTTACTACACTAGAAGTGATTTAACTTCTCGACATCCTATTGTAAATAACTCTGTGCTTTCTGGATTATCAGTGCATATATTAGAGCGAGGCTTCTTAACATTACAAATTATAACAAGTTCCATGTCATCAACATAGACAGAAGTATCTTCTCCTGCAGTTCTTCTGCTTTCACCCTTCCTCCTAACGTCACCTCATCAGTGTGTTGTGTGTTCACCCGTCTGTATGCTGTACTATTCCAGTCAGATACAGTATTTATTTGCAATTCAATGCAACACCTCTCTTTGTATTTTTGCCTCCCCAGTTACATACATGAGAGGACCAGGATATTAGGAACACCTCTGAATATATTACAGTCCAGTACAACACCACCTTTAACTGTGATCTCAATAATGAACATATAACTGAATTTAATAATTGAACATTTGAGCTTCATAAACACAAATGTTAAGGTGCAAGTGTTGCATTGAGGTGCGTACAGTACAGGTGTACCTAATAAAGTGGCTGGTGAGTGTCTATAAAATCAAATTACACCACAGTGAGTAAATAGGATTTTTGACAGGAGATAATTAGAAAAATACAGATGAAAAACCACAAGCATAAATAACTACCGACGGCAGACACGCATTCAGTTCACACGTCTCACTGTCACGGCTCATATAGCACGACTGTAACAATAAAAAGGTCAGCACTAGCTTAGCTCTAGTATTAGCAGTTTCACAAATAAATCATCATCTTGAATTAATTCTTGTTTATTTGAGCCCACTTTTACAGTCTTAGTTTTGAGTTTTATTTTATCCCATATTCTTTCATTTGTGAATGGAGTTGCTCGTGTCTGATACATAACCACATGCTCACAGTGCATCAGAGAAATAAATGCTTTTTAGTTGTGGACAGGAGAAAACTGAATTTTAAAAACATTTTATCTTTATAATTTGCACTAAAATTCTCATGAATGTAGCTTAATCCTTTATTTATTTGTACATGGCCCCATTTTTGGTGTAAATGGTTATTTGGCTACATAATAAACTAATTTTGTTTTAATATATTTTACTACTATAGTGGATATACTGCATCACTACTGTCTCCCTTAGCCCATGGTGAACAACAGTTACAAACGCCTACATCAGACTTACCGTATTGTCAAGTCTTCCAAACCAAAGCCTCGAGTACATCTTGTTGTCCAGTCCTCACAGTTGTCAGAAGATTGCTATCAATTCCCCTCGGATGATTTACCTTTTTACATACTCAAACTGGGAGTTGGTTAGTGGTACAGTATCAGTGTGTGTTATACCAGCAATGACTCAGCTTGACTCACATTCTGTTTCCAACGAAAGGTGCAGGGACACAGTCATCGGGATGAATAGCTGGAAGGATGAAACAAACTTCTGAGGAAAAAGAAAAGATGTGATGGAAAATGATGGAGCCGTGAAAGACAGCATGCAGATAAAGTTTTTTTTTTCCCCTGGACATGTGCAAATCTGTACAGATGTGTTTACTCACTCATCTAGTAACTACCCTCAATATTTTATGGATAATGATACACCGGTCAACAGATTTGAAGATGTAGTTGAGAAGTTTAATAGGTTTTTTGTGAATGTTGGTCCTGGTTTAGCAAGTAGCATTT